TGACTTGAAGCCAAGTGAAGAAAGTGTTTGAAGGAGGAGGAAACAATTAGTTTTCAAATAATGTTAAGCAGTGTTAAAGATGAGGAGGATTCAACGTTGACTTGGCAGTGTGGAGATATTTGGTTAATGGGGTCATCAGTTTCCATGGAGTGGTAGAGAGGAAAGCCTGTCTAGAGTAAAACAGTGGCAAAGGAGGAACTTTAGTCAGCCAGCAGAGACAATGGTTTCAAAAGCTTTGCTGAAAAGAGAGGCGGAAAAATGGGACAGTGTATAGAAAGAATTATAGACGCTGCTCTTACTAGATGTGTGATCTTGAAATTAGCAAATTTGCTCATCTTCCTGTGCCTCAGTTTCCTCATTTGCAAAATGGAAATTGTGTGTAGGATTGTGTAAAGATTAAGTCGTTAATATATTTAAAATATTTAGAAGAGTGCTTGTCATTTAATGCATTATTATCTGTTGCTATATTACCACAGAGTTAGAAACTTAAAACCATATGTATGTATTATTTCATGGTTTCTGTGGGTCAGGAGTCATGGCATGGCTTAATTGGGTCTCCTGCTTCAGAGTTTCTCCCAGGTTACAGACAGGGTATCAGCCAGGACTGGATTCTCATCTGAAGTTGTGACTGTGAGAGATTGTTTCTAAGTTTCTGTGGTTGGCAGAATTCAGATACTTCAGAGTTATTGGTCCGAGGGTTTATGTTTCCTACCTGCCTGTGGGCTGGAGCTGCTCCTTAAGTTTTTTGCCATCTGGGCCTCCCCAACATAGTAACTTACTTAATCAAAGTGTGCAGACTGAAAAAACAAAGAGAGGGGCGCTTGGGTGGCTCAGTCGGTTAAGTGTCTGACTTTGGCTCAGGTCATGCTCTCACAGTTCATGGGTTCGAGCTCTGTGTCGGGCTCTGTGCTGACAGCTAGTTCAGAGCCTGGACCCTGTTTCGGATTCTGTATCTCCCTCTCTCTCTGATCCTCCCCTGCTCACGCTCTCTGTCTGTCTGTCTGTCTGTCTCTCTCTCAGAAGTAGGCAAAACATTAAAAAAAATAAAAAAACAGAGAAGCAACATAGAAGTCACCATCTTATGTAACCTAATCACAGGGAAGTATGATATCCCATGTAGAGAAAAAGGAACCCTTTTGCACCGCTGGTGGGAATGGCCACTTTGCAAAACACTATGGAGGTTTCTCAAAAAGTTAAAAATAGAACTACCCTATGACCCAGCAGTCATGCTACTGGGTATTTACCCAAACAATACAAAAACACTAATTCAGAGGGATACCTGTGCCCCCTATGCTTATGGCAGCATTATTTATAACAGCCGAGATGTGGAAGCAACCCAAGTGTCTATTGATTGATGAATGGGTAAAGAAAATGTAGTATTTATATGTACAGTGGATTATAGTTCAGCCATAAAAAATAATGGAATCTTGCCATTTGCAATGAATGACACAGGTGGAGCTAGAGAGTATAATAATAAGTGAAGCAAATCAGAGAAAGACAAATACCATATGATTTCAGACCTGTGTGGAATTAGGAAACAAAACCACTGAACAAAGGGTGGGGGGAGAGACAAACCAAGAAATAGACCCTTAACTATAGAGAATAAACCGATGGTTACTCAGAAGGGAGATGAAACCGATGGTTACTCAGAAGGGAGATGAGTGGGAGATATAGGTGATGGGGATTAAGAAGTGCACTTGCTGTGCACTGGGTAAATCTTGATCTCAGGGTTGTGAGTTCAAGTCCCATGCCAACTGTGGAGCCTATTAAAAAAAAATAGACATGAACAAATTTTGTAGCCAAAAGATAAAAATGAAAGAATAAAAAAAATTAATTAAATAAAAGAATAAAAGTATCCTAACCAAAGGGGAGGAGAGTAACATCCTATCACCTTTGCTATATTGTATTGATTAGAAGCAAGTCATAGGACCCCTTATCACTCAAGGAGAGGTGATTACACAAGGGTTGAAGATCAGGAAGTGAGAATCATTGGGGAACATCTTAAGAATGTTCCTGCCACATGTGGGAAGTGTAAGGAGACAAGTCTAAACATCTAAACCAAACTGACTCCATGACAGGCTTTAAGTTTCCCCTCTAAACTAGAAGGCCTGAGTTTCAGCTTCCCCGAAACTATCAGGCAGTTACACATTGCCCAAGGCAGGAGAAACCACCCTTGCAACACCCAATCAGGAAAGGCCAGCGACCACCCTCCACATTACTAAGGGAGAGGCCTGGAGATAGAAACTATAGATAGGACCCTGTAACCTAATGTTAAAGTTAACCCGTTAGTCGCCGAACAAGACCTTAGGCTCGCTCTGTGATTGGTTGAATTTAAAGGTACTCTAAATGTTGTAACTGGATCCCGCCAACAGTAACGAATACTCTAGACAATGTGTATGGTCAAACCCGCTGTCAATGATGTTGTATATTTATGACTGGATCGCTGTTCCCATGTCACAACTTCTGTAACTCCCCTGTCACAAACCCCATAAAAACCCTACTCTGCCCTTGTTCGGGGCTCTCAGCACGGATCCACGGTGCTGGTGAAGTCTGTGAGCCCGAGCTCGAGCCCGTAATAAAGCCCTTTGCCTTTGCATGTGTGACTTGGTCTCCCCGGTGGTCTCTGGTCGGTGAGGATACTGCGATCTGGGTATAACAGAAGCACTTTAGTGTTAAAGTCATCATCATCATCATTCTGATGGGGGATGATTAAATAGAGGAGAGAGGAAAGAGAGGGTAGAATTGAAGGAAACATGTCCTTGATTAGACTACAAGGGAAGAAATTCAGTATACAAGTGGGAGGATTGGCCATTGTTCATGTATTGTTTTTAGAGGGGAATTCAGCATCTGCTGTGGCTACCTGGTAGATGTAGAGAGCCTCTTGATTCTCTTTCCCAGTTGTAAGAGGAAGTCAGATTATCAGCACAGAGGGAGAAGAAAGGGAGAGGTCTTGTGGGTTTGAGAAGTGAAGAGAACCTGTGATTCATCTACAGTAGGAGAGTGAACTGACTAGGCAGATGGAGTTAAATTGCCAAGCATCTTGAAGAGCTTACTTGATATTAGTAGCCATATATTTCAAGTGAGACTATTTAGCATCACTCTGAGGTTTTCTCTAGCTGCTCAGGTGCAGTGTGGAGAAGTAATACAAATCAAATCAATAAAATAAGTGGCAGAATAGATTGGCTTTAGTGAGGATTAAGTTTCTGCCGGCCCGAATGATAGAGGAGATAGTGGCAAGGGAATGATTGTAATGATGGGCTGTGAAATATAAGTCTATTAAGGAGCGAAGACAAGACATAGGCAGCTGAGGAACCATGTTAAGATGTTAGAGTCCGTGATTTGGAGGGATGGAAGAACTGTTGGAGTTGAAGTACTGAAGAGAGAGCCAGGAAGTTAGGAGATACTGATTAGAGTGATTGCTTGAAATACAGATTATGGAGGGGACACTGTTACTGTCAGGGAGGAGATCTTATGGCATCTATCTATGTAGAGGGCTCGTTTGAACCAGGAACTTGGAATATGATGAAGAAAAGACACCAACTTTCTCCTATGGACTATATTAAGGAATAGGTTAGTGTTCAATAAATTTGGGTGTAAATAATGCATACATAATTGAATAAATACCATTATGATCTTCCTTTGACCCTTTTGTTCCTGAATTTTTCCTACTGTATACCCTAACAAAGCACTGCAATTTGTTTGACTGATAGTTAAGTGGTTCTTTTTCAAATGAAATCTTGCAAAAAGAAGAATTTCTTTTGTTAAATAGAATTTTTTTTCCCTTTCAAGCTTTGGAAGCTCTGACTCAATTATGTATTGACATTCCTGTTATCATTCCAAGATTACTGGGGGAGATAAAAGTGACACCTGACACTCATTGAGTACTTCCTTTGTGTGAGGTATTATGCTTCATGTGCTATCTCATTCTTCACAGTAGGCTAACCTTGAAGGTGTGTACTGATTCCAGAGTTTAAACTACCTCTTAGGAGAAATAGTAGCAATTCAGCATGTATTCTGTTAACCTTTTTGGGAGGTAAAACCCTTCATTTTTTAAAAAGTTATGTTTATTTATTAATTTTGGGAGGGAGAGAGAGAGAGAGCAAGTGCATGTGGGAGGGGCAGAGAGAAGATGGGACAGATTCCCAAGCAGGTTCTGTACTGTCAGCGCAGCCCTGATTCAGGGCTCAAACTCACAAACCTGGAGATCGCGACCTGAGCCAAAACCCGGAGTTGGACACTTAACCAACTGTGCCACCCAGGTGCCTGGGAGCTAAATATATATCTAGTTACAAATAGATGCTGGATCCAGACTGCCTGGGTTTGAATCCTGACTCCATCATTTACTAATTATGTAACCTTGGCTAAATTATATAATCCCTGGATGTCCCAGATTCATACTCGGTGTAATAGGGGTAATTAACAGTATCTATCTTATAGAGATGTGAGGATTAAATGTGTAAATGTATAGAAAATGCTTGTAACAATGTCAGGAAAGTAGTAAATATTATATAAATGTTAGTTGTCATATTTAACAATTTATTTCAGCAGATCCTGTATTGTTGGTCAGAGTTCTACTCTTAAACACAATAAAACTTGAATTTTTTTTTTTCCATTAAAACTTGAATTTTGATCTCATCTTGAACTTGGTGGTATCTCTAAATAATATGTTAGAGTGTTATGCTCCTGTGAGACACATTTTCTGGTGGCCTTTCTCGTGTCTGAACTTGAGTACTTAATTTGGAAACATAAGTTAGCACTTTGTTTTGTTAAGTTATTTGACTAGTGTTAGCTTTGTGTCACCAGCTTGACTGACTTTAAGCTCTTGGAGAATTAAAATGATTTCTTAGTATCCCTTATAGACAAAATATAATGAGAGTGTAATACTTAATGATCAGTTATTACAGGCAGAAAGTAACATAGAATCAGTATATCATTTCATGTTTAAGAAGTTTGTTAACATCTAAAACATAATCTTATTCGTGTTTTATTTATTTTTTTAGGTTCCTAAATATTTGTCCCAGCAGTGGGCTAAAGCCCCTGGAAGAGGTGAAGTTGGGAAACTGCGGATTGCTAAGTAAGTTATTTATTTTTGACATCTTAAAAAGCTGTTTTTTGAAATTTTTGTAAGTGCTTTTAAAAGTAATAGCTCTTTTTCAGATAGAGAATTTACCTGGAAAATGAGAATAAGCACGTCAAGGATTGTTGAGAGATGTTTAGGTGCACTTGTGTATTTGTGTGCGTGTGTATAGATATGCGTGCATGCACACACATACAGCCCTCTCTCGTGATAGGTGTAAATATAAAGTCAGATTTATTGGTAAAACTTACTGGCAGTGAAGCAGCAGAGTATGTAGCTCCTTCATCCCTCCATCTTCTCTACATCTTGTGAATAGGTATGCTTGGGTTGGGTATAACTGGAGGCTCCCAGTTAAGTGCTTCAGTAGAAAGACTGCCATGGTGCCACCATGTCTATTTATAGAGGTATTGGAAGAGGGTAGGGAAAGCCAGGAAAACAATGTAAACATCTGATTGATGAAATGACCTTGTTAAAAAGGGAAGCCTCTCTCAAAGCTCAGCTGGTATCAGCCAGAGGCCTTGCATTCCACCCTGTTCATTCATTTGTAACTAAACTTTAATCAGATTTTCCTGCTTACTACTCCGTTGAAATAGCTCTACTCTGTCTCTTTATCAGTTAGCTTTTGCTTCACTACAAATCACCCCAAAATTTAGTGGCTTAAAACGGAAACCATATTATTTGCTTATAATTCTCTGGGACATTTCTGTTTGGGACTGACCTGGCTTTCCTGGCTAGAAGGACCTCATTCATGTGTCTAGTGGTTGGCTTGCTCTCAGCTGGGGCAGTGGCCATGTGTTATTTATCTGTAGCATGCTCATTCACATGATGGTGAAAGTTCTAGTAGCAAAAAAGAGGTAAGTCTCAATGTGCAAGCGCTTAGCAAACCTGTGTTTATATCATGTTTGCTAGAGTCCTACTGAGAATGCAACTCATAGCCAAGCCCAGGTTCAAGGGGAGAGCAATAGACTGGTGGGGGTCACTGCAAAGGATTTGTAGTCCTTTTTTGCAATCTAGCACATCTACATTCCTAAATCTGAGCATCAACTGTCAGCCTTAATTGTCCTTCAACAGAATTTTGACATAGTGATCATTCTTATCTTCAGACACTTTTTTCATTTCACTTGTGGGACACCACTCTCTTGATTGTCTTCCGTAGGGGACTGTACCTTCTCAGTCTGTTGCTGACTTCTCCTGATCTTCTCAATCTCTTAACTGTTATTTGACCCCAGGGTTTTCTTTCTAGTTCTTCTTCTTTTTTTTTTCTTACTTTGTATCTTTTAACCCTTCATTTTGTTTTAACAAGATATTGATTGGAAACAGGCATGATTTTATATCCAACTTTCTCAAGTTAGGTAAGGACAAGTAACAATTTATTTTCTCAAGAAATGGTTACACATTTAATAATGGAACTGGGCTTGAATTCAGGCCTTTGAATGGTAAAAAAAACTCCAGTAGGTTTCCCTTCCGGCTCTGTCACTTACTATCTGTGAGTCTGTACAGGCCACTTAATCTTTTGAGTTTAGGTTCCTTATGTCTGAAGTTGCCTGTTTTGCATGTATTTTTTGTGAATCCATTGAAATAATATGGACATAGTTGTCATTTATTTGTATATATAACTTTAGAAAATTAACGTATTTCTGGAAAGTTGTAGATAAATCATATTTTTTCTTGAGTTATACTTTTATTGAAAGTAAAAGGGAATGCAGACTTTGCATGCTTTTAATTGAAATCTGGGGTGATCTTTTTTCTTTTTCAACGTGGAATCCCTTATAATGCAAATAATTACTTTTTCAGTTGTGAACTTCAGAATTTCTTATAATTGGCTTTACTGAAAATGGGAGCCACTATCAAGGTAAAATCTCAGTGATAAATGTCACTGAAGAAAGGCAGACTATGGGAAAAATGTATTTGAATGGGGGAACTATTTTGTTTTATGTAATAACTACACTAGAGCTCAAGACCCAGATCCTCATCTTAACTGGCTATTGATAATTATTTGGCTTTAGGTCTCAAAGCCTTAGTTTTTTGTTTGTAAAATGTGCATAATAATGCCTTACCACCATAGAGTGTTGTTAGACAAAATAGCTTATGGTTTGTTAAGATGCTTTGTAAATTTGGGGCGCCTGTGTGGCTCAGTCGGTTAAGTGTCCGACTTCGGCTCAGGTCATGATCTCATGGTTTGTGGGTTCAAGCCCCATGTCGGGCTCTGTGCTGACAGCTCAGAGCCTGGAGCCTGCCTTCGGATTCTGTGTCTCCCTCTCTCTCTGACCCTCCCCTGCTCACGTTGTCTTTCTCTCTCAAAAAAAAATAAAACATTTTTAAAAAATTTTTAAAAAGATGCTTTGTAAACTCAAATGTTGTCCTTTTTCTGCCATGAATATTGTGTTCCTCAGAACCTCTGTGAGAAGAAAATATCCTGGTTGAGCAATGTAAAATCTTTTCTTTTTTCCTTCTTCTTTTACTTTTTTTTTTGTTGTTGTTGTTGTGGGGAAGAAGGGACTCTATATTGGGAAATAGGATAAAAGCCGAGGCTCAGGAACCCTCTGCAAGGGCTTTGATCCTGAAGTAAAGGCAGCAAGCTAAATAAGCAACAGTGGGTGTGTTGCAGTTCCTTTATCCTTTATCACCCTTTGCTGGGGAGAAAATTTCAAGCTCTTTTTCTTCCTTAATTTAAAGCAGACAGTTTACACAGTTGCATCCAACATAGGGTGGCCATACTCCCAGGTTTGCTGGGAATGTTCCAGTTTATATGTTTTCCCTGTGCAGTTATTAATAGTGTCCCAGCTTTCACTCTCTTAAGTGTCCTGGTCTTGACAGTAAACGATTTGCCTTTAATGTTATTAGGTGTGCATGTATTTTTTACGTTAGCAGAAAGATCTGGCAGATCTTCTACCTAACATGAAATACAATCAGTCTTGTCTTATAGGTCTAGATCCTTTAAATGAGGAGAACAGCTTTATAGTAATTACTAACATTGCTATGGAAGTGCTTAAAAATAGCTTGTTCCATAGTAGGCCTCCTGGCTGGCTGTCTTGTTTGTGGTGTTAATTCACTTAGTTTTCATTCCTTTTACTGAATTACTAAATTTACTATTAAGTGTAGGGTAATGAGGAATGGCTTCACAGTACTTGTGACAAGGCTATCAGGATTTTAGTTGATTTCAAGCTAAGTAGTCATCAGGCTTATGTGGCTATAAACAAAAGGCTCCCTTAATAGATGTTTGTTGTGTAGGATGAAGTGGGAGGATAATCGCACTCTTTCCTTTGCCAGTTAGCATATCGTGCAAATATTAAGTTCACTTCTTAGTGCTGTACTTAGAGACATGGACAAATAAGTTCCTTTAGTAGAGTGAGACTAGGACAGTGAGAAAAACTAAAAAAACTCAGTGTCCTGTGAGGAATATATGAAGGTACTATGTCTGTTGAGAGAAGATTAAGGCAGACCAGGTGAAACCATCATCAAATATTTGTAAGGCTAGGAGATGTATAATCAAGTATTGATTCGTAGAGGCAGATTAACCAGTTTATGGATTATCTGTGTGGTAAGAAAATGTATATTTGGGTAAAACATGAAAACAAGGTTTTAAAGAGCCAGTGTGGCATACTAGCTATGAGTAGGAATATGGAGTCATTCAGCTCTGGGCTTTATCTAGTCCTTGTTACTTACTAGCTATGTGACTTCAGGTAAATTGCTTACCCTCTCTGTTTCCTCATCTATTAAAAGGTGGTGGTATTAATACTTCATGGGTTCAGTGCATGTAAAATAGCCACTAGTGTTCACCTGCTGTTGTTCCACATACTACATAGTACAGACACTGGCCTTGCATCATGTCTGATGTGGTGTGGGTATGACCTCCCTTCCCTGGCACATCTTCCGAAGGAGCAGCAGCTTGCAGTGCAATAGGCCAGAAGCTAGGAAAATCTACATGGTGCAGTTGTTCGTTCCAGACAGGGCTTTGGAGTAGAGGAATTGCGAGAGGCAGAGGAAGGGGACAAAACATGCAGGTGGGACTGCACCTCTCCCCAAATTTGGTTCTGTTTATACCTGAAAACAGGAGAATCCAGCCTGTTGTAACAGCTGGTGACATTTGGGCCTTTTCTCTTAGGCAGTTTATGCCATGTTTCTAAACCATTGCACTTGGATTATTTTTATACCTTTGGACATATAATGTGCATTGCATTTCATTTAGCTTGTAGTTTTGCTTTAGGTTAAGTTTTATTTAAAAACATTTTCTTAAATGTTTATTTTTGAGAAAGAGAGAAAGAGAGAAAGAGCGTGAGCAGTGCAGGGGTAGAGAGAGAGGGAGACAGAATCCGAAGCAGGCTCCAGGCTCTGAGTTCGAGCTTTATTTCTAAACACATTTAACATTTAAGGTCATGTGGAGGGCCACTAATAAAAAATATGTGAACAAAAAAATCACTGAGATAGAGTTTTTCTTTTATAAAATTGACTACATTTAGAAATTCTTACTGTTGATAGGAGTTTAAATAGGTGCAAACTTTCTGAAGGCCAGCCTGGCAACATATATATGTGTTCATATACGTATATGACACACTCATGTGTACTTGCACATACATTACTGCCCAGAACAAAGTAGAATAATAATCTTACTGTTTCTCTGCCAGTTAGCTCACAGTGCAAACAGGTCAGTTCTTGGTGCTGCCCTTATAGAAGGACACAAACTCATCCAGCAGTGTGGGACTGGGATAATGAGAAGGCTAGAAATATTAATAATAAAGTATTCATGCTCTTGACCCAGCATTTTCATGGAACTTAGCTTGTAGAAGAAATAAGTTAGTGATACAAAGATTGAAGATACTCATTTTATCATTGTTATCGAGAAAAATTAGTAACATTCTCAAATCCCTTAGCAAGGAGTTAATGAAGTAAACTGGGCACATTTTGAAATTATTTAATACTTTTTCTAATTTAAAACCTTTTTCGTTAAAAATAATTTTATTTTAATTTTAAGTAGGCACCATGCCCAGTGTGGGTCT